CATTAGCTCAGATGGTAGAGCGCTTGCAAAATACAAGCAAAGGTCCTTGGATCAAACCAAATGGGTAGGTAGTTTGTTGGTGTCTCATGTCCCATGTCCCTGTGTCCCTTGTTCTGTGTTCTATGTCCCATGTTCTATATGTTCGAATTTCTTACAACATTCGTTCTGTATGTATCTGTAGGTCACTTAGTGTTAGTATAACGATTGTGAAAAAACAGTCAAATATTGAACTCGACATTGTACGCAAAAAGTTTATGTATATTATGCAATATAAAGTAGATACTTCTTTGAAGGACCTCTGTGAATTGTTTATAGCTTGCTGTCGATGAATGTAGAAACCCATTACACAAGAGTACCAGTTTCACATCCGAGACTCGGTAAAAATGCCCTTCGAGCTTCCTCTCATTTTACATCGAAGCTTTACACTTCCGATGACCGCTGCCAGCTAGCTACCTTGGAAATGTTCTAATCGTTGATGTCGCAGGATATAACCGCCTTTTTTCGGCACCATGTAGACGTCGAACCACATCCCAGTATCACTGGGAAATACTGAGAACAGAGTTCTAAACGGACCAATTTTCCTTCCGAGGAGCATCAATAGATTTCATTGCTCATTTGTGTGTCTGAGATAACTACAAAATCAGAGAAAATTTTTTCATAGTCTTCGGTGGTGTAAGGGCGTTTGAGATCGGGACGCCTTGTATCCGAATCATTGTCACAAGCAGGATGATGATCACTGAAGGCAGGTTCCTCTCGATAACACGGTTTCTGGCGCTGAAAGGAGTGCAGATAAGGCACTGGCTGATGGCAGCGGAGAGAGCGAGCGCAGATCGAGCACCAAAATCGAGTCAATTTATTCTTCTCGGTCAAGACAAGGATATTCACGATAAAAGCTCATGCTCAGGTGATGAGGAGATCTAATACGGGGCGAGGGACGAGGTACTTGATGTGGCACAAGTCGAATCAAGCTGACGTGAGATTGACTCTTTGTTAATGAGGTTCTCAAAGATGTGATGATGGCGGGTACAGGGTTTCCATTGAATGGTCAAGAATTTGTTAAATTGGATGTTGCCATCTTCAATCACCGTCTTTTTAGCGGTTTTGACAGGCTGTGGGAAATGTTTCCCGCCATCAATGAGTGACTATTTAAAAGTAGTCAGACCAATCACATTTGGGCGACTGTACACAGATAGAAATCGTCGATAGAGGGCAATCGTCCTTGACACCACAAGCGTCTACAAATCACAGTCCTCAACACGACTTGGCCCGCCTGGGTTTTTCGAGACGATGCAGCGATGACAGTAACGTCGACCTTATTTCGAGCATGTTTATTACAAGCGCGATGTTTCCGATCCCCAGCACAAGATTGACTTGTTTAAGACCGCGAACTGGTTAGTGCTCTCGCTTGTCACAAGCACGTTTAGCCAAATCCGATTAACCGAAAAACGAAAAATCAAATGATATGTCGAAACAAGCACCACTTTGGGCATCCACGTGCTTCTCGAGCCAAAACCATGGGCATAAAAAACACTAATGAATCTGACGATCCCTGCCTCTTGGATCATTTCTTGTGCTTGTGCCCGACTTCGTCGCACTCATAGCATCGATCCGACAAGTCACCACCAGCCCAATCGCCACGACTTTGACAACCCAGTTTAGGCGGCTGCTTTGCTTCGGGGGCTTTCGAAACTTGTAATCAACGTTTTTTGTAGACAACGTTAAATGCGGCTGTTATTCGACTAGCTACGGGTAATCCTGGCTCAAAACGCAATCTCGTGAGTTCTACGTACCCAGGCTATCAACAACATGAAATTTCATTCATGCGCTTCGGCTTCGTGTTGCACTCACGACCTAGTGTCTCCATCAATTCATTTTACACCGTGCATCGATTATTATAACAATCGCATGATATGTTGACAATAGGCTTCACATTAGAATAGTCAAACATTCATCTTCGCTTACAGACACCAACGTGTATAAATCTGGTCAAACTTGAACAGGGATTGTCAGTGCCTTACGATCAACGGTCTTTAAATGTACAGTTGCACGCACCATCGTGCCTTCTAGCTTCATCTCGAACGGTCCCATTTTGGCGAGCGCGGAAATCTCCCGCAGTTAGTAGTTTTGATCGATGAAAATTGTTTTTGCTTGTCGTCACGCGCTTAGGTCATGCATGACCCTAAAGAGCTAGGCAGAGTTGGAGTAGTTCCCGCGAAAGTCATCTGAAATAGAATATAGAGAACGACCTATTTTTAATTCTAAGCCTGCTATTCATACGTAATCAGATACAGAATAACTGGAGAATTAACGGATGTCATTACATCCTTTAAATTCTCAGAAAAAGAGAATTCTTTAAGAATCTCTAACTGTTCCAAAAAGACTTGTCGAATAAATGTAACATGTCTGGATTGTGTTTTCAGATGTAAAATGAGTGGCATTTGATACTGTACTACCGGGGTACTTATTAGATTTGTTTAGCATATTCCCATACGATTTGAGAGGCACCTGACTTCGGCTGCGGTATCATCCATCACCTTCTTGTGATACCCCCCCACGTTATGGATGCTACACCAATCTATGTTTACAAAAGCTATCTTTCTTTGTTTATATAGTCATGTGTTTGTAATGTTCTATTAGCAAAGGAATAGCAGGGTCAGGTGGCAATCTCGTCTACAACGCCACTAGACATTAGTCATTTATTAAATCCACTCAAGCCCCTCACTAGGTGTGGGTGCAACCGATAGGCAATATCAAAGTATCAAAGTATTGTTTTTTGCTGCTACTCCAAAAAGAGCGCACCATACCTTATCGCGACAGTGAACTTTTTGCATCACGTGCTCATACAGCAGTTTTCGGTAGGTGTGGAGCTCAATCTTTTCACAATTTAATATAATCAGCATGATTACCATTAAGCTAAAAATAACTTACCAATCCTGTTTGCGACTTTGGAAATGTGATTTGGTGGGCCTGTTATCCTCGCGGAAATAAAATGCAGTCTGTACCTTTTTATTAAGGATACTATTAGGTTGTGTGTAACTCGCTTACATACCAAACAGCGCAAACGAAATGAAAAAGTTACATTTTGCAGTGTTGAACTGGAATGTAATACGTTAATTGACGTTTGTGTTAGTCACTATTTAAAGTTGCAGAGACAGTCCAAAGATCCGCTTGCTAGCAAGTTTTAGGATTGCGCAGTATCTTGATTCAAATTTAAAAGACTTAAGTTTCAAGCGTATGTTATCACTTCAGTATGCATCTATGTGGCACGATAGTGATCATACGTGTGAATGGTTGCTGTATCGAGCCGCTCGACGTGCCCGGGTAGCGTGGCAGTGGTGCCAAGATCAACACGATGTTCTGCATTTTTTGATTACAGCTCATAATTAATCAAAAACAATTTGCTCCAAAATTAGCTGTGCAATTCTGTATCTGTAAAACATGATTTTTTTCAGGTATCCTTATTGTACGATCCAGGTCAAGGTTTTTCGGCTTGAGGTTTTTCTACTGTCTTGCAAGTCAACCAAACACTAATCAAAGTTACTTAAGTTGGCCAAGTCAATCTTCTCTACCTCATTCGACTTAGTTGACAAGATGGTTATCAATAAACGGCTAATTATCATTGGCGTTGTAGTCCTATGCGCTGTAGCGGGTGCCATCGTGGGCATTCTTGTTGCCACGTCGTCCGAATCCTCGTCAACATCCACAGAATCTTCTAATCCGGAATCAAATGGCGGTCGTGGCACCAATGCGTTCACAGGCAGTCGCTCGTCCAATTCATCTTCAGGGAGTGTTGTCCCAACCGTGACGTCTGATCCTACTTCCGGTACATAACTTCGATTGTTCTCACTGCATCTTTTCTTCTGAGTCAGACTGATTTGGATTTTCTCTGATTTTTGTACCAGTGACGTACTCGCTAGCTGCCTTTGCTATCGGGGATTGGGGTACCACCATTTCTAAAGATTCATGTTGTTCACGATCTGATACGTATACCAACTTTGACGTTGTTGCTGAGGATGTGGTGGCTAGTCTAATGAACACACAAGCAGGTGATGCTGATATTAAACCAAAGGCGATTCTTAGCCATGGAGACAACTTTTATTGGACAGGTATCAACAGTGAAGAAGGACGAGACTCGCGTTTTACCACCACTTTTGAAGAAAAGTTTAATGGGGACAATTTGGCTGGTATCCCTTTTATAAATGTGTTGGGTAATCATGACTACGGAGGTGCTAGTTACATTTGCTCTGACAAAGACAACAATGCCAAGTGTAGTACCACAGAAGATCTGATTGCAGCTCTCGAAAATAAGTTCAAATGGCAACAGGAATATAAGAGTCCGAATGACAATCGCTGGATTCTTTTGGGTCATTTCTACGTCTACACCATCGAAGACGAAGCTTCTGGAGTGAGTATTGACATTTTCAACGTTGACTCAGGGGATGCAGATGTTCATGCTGCGCAACAAGTGTGCTGTCAATGCTATGGTTACTCTAATGGAGACGACGAAAAGTGCAATGGAGTCGCTCGTGGGGACAAATACTGTGCTGGTGGAGACACTGACATGTATGACGCATGCTTTGCTAAGTTTACTGAATGGAGTGACGATTCTCGTTCGCAACTTTCCGAGAAGGCTAAAGCATCAAATGCAACATGGAAGATCGTAAATAGCCACTACAGTCCAAGTGTACATTATGCAGAGAAGGGCATGAAAGCGTGGTTTGATTTGCTGGCAGGTACTGGCATCCATGCTTGGGTGTATGGTCATACGCACGGAGAGAAACACGATTATTCCGAATCACTTGGCATCCATTTTGTGGAAAATGGTGCTGGAGGTGGTATTCAAAAGGAATCAGCTAGTGGGCTTACAACGTATGCGGCTGAGTATGTTAGCAACGTGTGGACGTATACTGGCGATGAGTACGGCTTCTTTTCACTGACAGCGTCTACAGATTGGCTACGATTGGGTTACCATACGGCGGACGACTCGTGGACTTTTGGCTCAAGCTTTGGCGCAACGACTATCGGTGGTGTGGAAACGAAACACTGCTGGTACATTCCCGCTGATGGCACGAAAGGTGTGGAGTGCTAATCCTAAGTCTACTTACTCCATCATTTCTAAGTCAGTGTTTCTCGATTCATGTGTACCACACAAAATTTGCTTTATGTATTTCAACCCATATATTAACATGATAAACCTCAAAACACACAACATAAGGTTCTATGCATACATAGAGATGAAGCGTCGGTAGAGCATGCAGCACCACGCACCTTCGTTCGGTCAAATAATTGGCTGGCAGTCAGTACAAGATACATAATATTTTGATTTGGATTTTTTTCTTACAAAGCGCAAAGATTTTTGGAGCAAGATAAATACGAGTTATCAGTATTTGCGCAGTTTATGCATGCTGATTTAAAACCGCCTTTATTTGAATACTTTCTTTGATGGTTGGAATATGAAGTCATAAAATATGTCTTTTGAGGGAGTATATGACACAGCAGAACTGGCAGAATATATATTTTGTAAATTGTTTAAGACCGCGGAAACTATGTTTCAAATGTCATAAAATCTATGACAGTAGCATTGTCGAAAACATCAGTGACTTTGTTCTTCGATAGTGCAATCTAGAGAACAACATTCACGAGACTCATTATTGCTCGCAATTTCGAGGGATCGATAGTGTCATTTCATATGCTAGGTCGACGCACGTGCTTGGGCGGTCAAGATGATAGTAATTAAGAGACAGCGCGCCACAAATGGAGAATGTTCTTCATGTGAGAGGCAAGTATTTATAAGCAAAGGAAAGACATACAATAGAGTATACATACCTGCTACAAATAATAAATAGAAAATGCAAAATAGAAAGCAGCGTACACTACATAAATACTATATACTATTATTGCTTACTTTTATTGAATTGTGTTAAACACACACTTGTGCAATTATAACAAAAAATCAGTACTCTTAAATTGGTGATTACCAAAATTTGAAAATAGAAATTAATTTTGGTACATAAATGCTGATTAATATTAGTATTGAAACGATCATGGTTCTATTATCCAATCAGCACCAAGTAATTATGCATCGTTTTTACTTTACTTCATCTGTTGGTGTGCTTAGCTTGCAGCACGCCTTCCAAGTTTTTTTTGCTAATGACTTTCGTTTTTGAATCAATTCCCATCCTAGGGCAGAAAATTCAGATTTAAAGGTAAACACAGCCCCTGCAAAGGACCGCAGTGCAGAAACTTTACACAAAAGAGCACGATGTCTTTATGTGACTCGAAGGAATCCCCTTCGTTATACTGATCAATTGTCTCTTGCAGCGAAAGGTCGTTTCTGTCAGCCTTAAACAATTTCGTTCGCTTCATGTGATTCGATGGAAAACACTCGCGAGGCATATTCGGTAATTTACAAACAACGAACCAAATATTGCCACGTGATTTGTATAAGGAATGTGTATAGAATGAAGGAGAGGCACTTTCAATTGGATGATCCTCTGAATTCTGCAACGTATAAATACGACTTACGCCATCTACGAGCCCAGCGACCAGTTGGCTATTCTCTCATTTCAGCTACTCTCGGTATTTTTTACAAAATATTCGTCTATATAATGAAGACACAATCCTTGATCACGCAAGGACCCTATGACAGATGCAGATAATATGGACCAAATTCCAATAGTTTCGCGATCAATATTTGTCTCCAACTGCTCACCCGTACCTCTTGATGCGATAAGTCAGGCATTCTCCGCTAAGTTTCGGAAATACAGCTACAATTAACGGTGTCAAATACTGCAAATTCAGCGACAACGATTGGCAAATACCGTTCAAAAGGCCTTTATTGATCGATAAAAATAGGGTTGGTTTTAATGGTTATGATGCTGGGGCTGCCACTCCATCAAAAACCACGAGCGAGCCGTCGTGTGGTCCTTCTTGGGTATTTACTTCCCATATCACGACTGATTGTCTCGTGTTTGCTTATCTGCTCTCAATTTTGTTCATATTGGCGATCAACTCGACCCCAAAAATTCTGGCACACTCTCTCATTGCTGAATAAATTTGATGCAACATGCAACATGCTCTGTAAATTGAAAACAGACAACACTTTCACTACCCCTTCAATCTGTCCGATCATAACGTTTGCTCCATCGGATGCAATTCCAAACCTTTTTCTTCCAGGATAGTCGAAGCTGTCTCTGTGCAAGTATCGTGGCAACCCTGTTGTACGTGATAGTACTTGTCATCGAGTCGAAGAACAAGTCTTGCAATAATTGGTCTTTTTGGTGATGGAACGCGCCTATGTCCTGGTCAAAAAGCTTGATCTATTTTTGGTCTCGAAGATACTGTCGGCCTAAGTCCAAGGTGGTAATCGCTTGGCCAAATGCGTTCGTCGGCCATTCGATTACTCTGATTTGACACCTCTCAAAACTCGACAGTCAAGCGTCGCTAGGAAAGCAACCGGTTCCCACAGTGCGGCACCTTATGCTTAGCGCCCAGCCCTTGAGAGACGAGAAAATTCTATATTTGGATAAGGTGAAGTGAGATTATCTCGAACATAACCATGCTTCAAATGGAGCAACCACTAGATATCCCAAGCTCAAAGGCCGTGCGCGATAATGGGTATTCATGTGCAGTATACTCTAAGATCATACATTCCCGAAAATAATCAAAGCGACTAATTCGTGGATTTTTGCACTGCCTAACCAAGCATATCGTGTGCCATTGAGTATCCTGTCCACTCATCGAACAAGACGAGATTGAGTGCACAATGTTTGTAGCTTGAAAGCTCTCATTGTCATTTTTGTGTCAGACCCTCTTTCTGAAATTGTGACGGAGAAACTTCTTATGAAAATGGTAATTTTCATAGAGTGTTCAAGCGGCCGCGGCTTGCTCCGAAAGCTTTCGCATATAAGATACCTCTTCAAGATCGCAGTGAATACGGAGCTTAAATACCGCAAGGGGCTGACTGGAGTTAGCAAGCTGGAGGCTCAATAAGGGTGTTAAAGACAATGGACCTGAGTCAAGTGAAGAAGAGAGAGAGTTATATCTTGGCGGCTGATCTTAACCATGGTGCTTGCAGATGTTAAATCATACAAAAACCAAAAGTTTCGGCCAACGTATCCTTTTCTCGGATTAAAAATGAGAAAGCTTGCTATTTCACGCAGAGTAGACCGAAACCCCCGCGCGAGAAAATGCCAAGTTTAGGCTGGAATGGCGGCCTTCTTGCAATAACTGGATTTACATTGTAGTTTGAGAAAGCCAAGGCCAATATAATTCGGCCTTCAAAAAATGAGGCTCTCAATTAAAGGTTTAGCTCCAAGCCCAGGGAATGAACCCCTTTCATTCCCTCAGGTAAAATCGAATTTTTCCATAACTACCACAGTCACTACAAAAGCTTTAATGGCCTATGAACTAATATGAATTAAATTTTGTGTCGATAATATTTTTTTAGGGTTGCTACACTGGGAAGAGTCACCTGCGAATACTTCTTATAAATCAGAGTCATCAGAATCTGAGCATTGTCTTTGTCCCGGAAAACAAAGAAGTTTTATGTCCTGATCTAACCACTTTACAGGGATTGTGCAAATTATGCTAGTATGGCATCGTCCATCACCAATTTAGCTCAGAAGGGTGTCAAATGGCGCTGGAGCGCACTAAAAGAGGCGGTTTTCAAAGCTGTGAAAAGAGACCTCATGCGCCACAATTTTGAGGCTCTAAAATATGGATCGGCTATTTTCTGTGTTTACGACGCTTACATTCGTTCCATCGCCTGCATCATATTTCAAGCTGATACCAATGAGCAATAACGAGTCATTGCGTTTGACTCTCGCCAGCCAAGTTCCGTGTGAAACGTGATAGTGACGAAGCTGTGTGCACCGAGGCATCATTAGTATAGATCACCAAACATCGCATAGCTAAGCAGGCGTATACTAACTTTCAAACTTTCAACAGAACATACTGTGCTGCAAGAAGTACCTTGTAAGGGACTAGTTCATTCATCTTTGCCACCGAAGTAATCTTTACCTATTTTACTCCATAAGCTGGATCGGCTTGATATAGTGTTTTCGGTCGCCCCAACTATGAGCTGTCGCATGTCGAGACGCTGATTTCGCGCAATTATGAGGCGAATTCTATAACGTACGAATCATACGCTTCATGTGTTGCGATATTGAAGCTTTACCAAGCAAAAAGATTGAGACCTAGACATATCTTTAACAAATCGTGCGGTTGCTCATCTGCCACACTATTTCTTATTACAAGGCTTGCTTTATCACAGCACTAAGCCAGATAGCACTGATACCTCTATTAAACACCTCACGTATAAAATACTGAATGAGAGCGCATGATACTTTCAAGTGGCAACCTCGGAAGAGAAACGCATTCTACCCAGTGAGTGCACTTTACTGGTGGGCAACGCGTACAGTGGGTAAGCACTCATGTGTGCACAAATATGTGGTGTCATTGGGTCTATTGCTTGCGAATTGAGCCAACGCCTTGATTAGCAGCCGATTCGGGTAGAACTGTTGGCTGTCCATAAGTATGGCCGCTTTGTTTCGTCTATTTAATTAATACCGACGGGAGGATCTTTGTTGACTGTTTGAGTGAATAACCAATCTCATTGCTAACAGCGACACCGTAAACGAATAGGATAAACCTAAGTTATTTGATTACTAACTTGGCTTGGCTGTGGCCAGTGTGTTAGATCACGAATCGGGCTTTACAGCAAAGGTATAAAAGATTTTGTTAGAGGTCCTAGGCAGTGAACTAAAACTTACCCTAGTTGACCATACAGACAAAGGGCCTAGAGTAACGCGATTAGAGCGTGGTGGAGGATAATTTTTAGAGCAATCGGCCTGAGTGAATGGTGTTGTAGAAAGAATCCTTTTCTTAGTCAGATTGCGTTAGATTTCAAAGCACATGTCTTTGTTTACTTGTCATTCATATGAATGTTCTTTTCCTAACCCCTTAGTTTTATCACTGCTTTGGTCTTGGTGGGGAGCTGTCAAAAAACTCGTTACGTTGATACAAGCTCGACTGTTAAATCTTTACTGTTGTCCCAAAGAGACTGAGCGTGCCCAAAGCCATGGCTAGAATCAGTAGTGCAAGAGCCGATACCAGAAGCAAACACCAAACATGGATAAGTAGTGAGACAAATGTGTTAGTAAACGCGGTTCTTTTGCACACACATTCAGTGTCTGTAGTCTATAGAGTTGTTTTGCGAACACGCTATATCGTACTGCCATTGGTGCAAATGAAAAAGAGGGCTATACCACACTTCTTCATCACCAAAATGCTGCTAACACATCCAAAGTACTTTGGAAGCTTGCAATAGTCATACCTCAATTTTGCTCTGACGAGCGATCCAATTGTGATGCGATTTGCTTAAGACAATGTAGTCCCTGAACCCGAGCTGTCTCATGTTCTATGCAAGCGATATGGGCCTTACGAGAAAACGATTCAGATAAAGCATCCATTTACGGATCCATATCACATTCTGCCACACGCTGAGATTCTCTGAGATAGTTCACTTGTCGCCATGATCGAGAGAGCGCAAGGGAGCGAACTGCTGGGTGAGGGTACACTCGGTCGGCACTGATTAGGGAGCAAGAGATGACCCGTAAACATGTAAACGACTCGTAAACAAACGTATACACCAAGGCTGCAACCGGTTCCTGATGGAGTGAATGGATACTTCCATTCCATTAACTCATGTATGCTTGAGATCTTGCCCCGACAACGAATTTTGGTGCTGCTGGCGTTTACGACCTAGCGTACACTTTGTCAACACATACACAAGAGGCAGGGTTGCCCAGCGATTTATGCTTTTAGCTGACTCGGGGGTTTGGCTGCTTTTCACCTTTGAGACCTGTCTTGTAGTTATTCCAGTAGGATCACGAAGATGAGCAGAGCTGTTGACATCAAGACCGTGAGATTATAAGCGCCAAGCACGACAACCATGTCGCGTTGTCTATACTATAAATCATAGTTAGCATCCAGCAATCATTCAGTCTAACGTCTGCTTCGGTGAAGCTGGCTTGTTAAGCCGTATGGCGTGTACGGCGAAGTGCCTTTTTCATCCAGTACGCAAAAATAGTATGAAATGCTTCGGAATGTCTGCCAGCGGTTGATACTAGAATGACGTTCTCGGGGAAGGTAAATCTTCACCCGATCGCTGCCTCTCCAGGTGTAAAGTGATGGTCGGTAAAGCCAGTAAGCGCTAAAGTTGAGTGATTTGAGACACTCATTCGGGTGCAAAGGCGTGAAAACAGGAAATGTGTTTGCCATTTTTCTTTGGTAAGCGAAAAGTACAGATTTGGGATCCGGAAAGTGACTAAGATCAAGCTTATCACATCACGCTTCGGCTTATGACTCTTAGGTCGTATGTTGCTAAAGTCTTGCGCTTCTCATTGACTCACTAATTTTTCCGGAGACGTTTTTAGAGAGGGTCCTAGATGTATAACAAGGCTCGTAGCAGCAAGCACTGCTAGGTAGAATATTGGGTAAACAGCCTACTTCGATCAGATCTGCATACAGTTCAACAAAACTGATGGTGTCATTCAACTTTATCATTATCTCATGCTGGAGGATTCACTCACAGAATGAAGCATTAATGACTAAAGAGGGGTCTGACATGCACCAGTCAGCTTCTGAACAACCGTTGCAATAGCTTATTGAATGTGAAGCGAATGGATAAATAAATCATTATTTTCAGCACCACTCAATTAAATCGAGCACTAAGTAAAGTTCGTATCCATCAATAATATAATCACAAAATTTACCCAGTGGATGATCGAGGAATAAAGAGACACATCATCATATACACGAGATTGTTCCTCGAAGACCCTTACAAAGATTTTTGGACCCGACTACATAAGCAAGTCGATCGAGTGCGTCGAAGAGAATACGGCCTATTCGTCGATTCTTCTAAAGAAATAATTATCAAACGCTCTCAACGAACTGATCTGCTCGATGATAAACAGTAATCAATCAAAGTTTACGGTACCAATTTTTTAAAGTAGCGATGTATGAAAAAATTATTGGGACTCAACTCTCATGTTGAGCGTCAATCTATCTAATGTGCCTTCCCGATTGAAAGTGATATCAGGTAAGGGAGGTTAAAAGCCTTTGGTTATAAAATAAATGTCACTTCACCTTTCCTCCTCTTTACGTAAGTCAACGGCCTGCCGACAGCGAGCAAGACGCGGTTAGGCGTGTCAGTTGACCTAAGCCTTCTAAGTCAGACTGCAATTCCCGTTACACCCACTTCTCACCAATATCTGTGCCATTTCGTAGGGATGACAGCATTTTGGGAGGTTGGACGCACCATAAATTTAAAAAGGAAAAACAGAGCAGCAAATTGAGCCCTCTCACTCCGACAGACACAAAAATCCGAAAGCCAATATTGCCAACGCATATTTTGAAAACTCCATACCTGTGGACTGTCCACACTCTACCGGAATCATCAAGCAAGACAAAGGTGATCTCGCAGGCGGCGAGGGTGCAACTCATTGGTACGAATCACACGTTTGCACAATGTTGCTTACCCACTCATACATGTAACACCAGTAACGGGTATTACATATTTTCTCTTTCGCGGTGGCCAACTGAAGATAAATATGAGTATCATGCAATATTTTGTACGTAGAGTCCTCATCATAAACACCCACTACGCTTTGAGTGTCTAATGGGTTAGTACTAGGATACAACAATACTTCGGATAAGGACTAGCGGTGCAAACGTGCAACCGCGCAATTCGTCAAAGCAGCATCTGAGCTCCCAATCTTCTTGCCTATCAAAGATTCAGCGGCACAACACACGCTGGTCCGTACGCCATACGTATCACCCCATAAATGCACTTTGTCAACATCGCAACATGCGACAGCTCATAGTCAAGCGACGCGAAAGCCCATCGGCCACTATATGTAGCCGATTAGCTTATACCGTACCACATAAATATAATCGGTAGAGACGACAATCATTTTGTCGTACTTTGTGAAAGATGGGGTGGTAACGACGCTTTTTACGCAACAAGATGCTTGATCGGTAGAATAGGTTATAAATGACTTGAAGCCTACTTGAAGTTGATTAGGACACACCTTGTTGCAAACATCTCCTTCTTATAAGCTGGAAGAGTCATCATTGTTGCCATAGGCGGGCAATACACGAACGCAATGACGCGTTCATTCCCGTTGACTCAGCTTGTAGATCAGCACAGCCTAGGGTACAGTTGAGGCAACACAGACGACGTGAAATGGCGATCAGGATTGCTACTTGTGCAAGTTGTGACTCGACCAAGCCACTTTAAAAACTTTTTTTGAAACTTAGGCACTGGCAAATCCTCGATGGCCAAAAGTTTTGACGAATCTGCCCACTCACTATGTAATATTTCGTTGGCGTCAACGACGAGCCTATCTATGATGGTGAACCGCATTTTGAGATTTTACGCTTCTTGCAATTGTTCAATGTGGATGCCCACAACCGATTAAACGTCCCTACACAACTATGGACGAATATTGAGTTGATTTGGATTGTGCATTGGCACGATGTAGACTTAGCAGCCACGTTACAAGACAATTGAGCGTCGCTAATTTGCCGAATAGTTCCTGTGACTTTTCCAGCCATTATCCGAGCATCCTGCTTGGAGTAGTAGTACTCACCGCGGTCAGTGGGACACCGATATTTAATTGGATCAATGAATAATAGTCATTAATAAGGTCAAGCACGCTAAAGAAGGTGCAACCGACCGTGCAGTTCTGCAGCACATGCTCTATGGGGATTGGCAATTGTGCCGAAATATGGCTTATTATAAGCATGCACGATACCCCGAGTCATCGTTAATGGCACAGAGCGTTGGTGCTGAGTGCAAATAACCTTCAGTCACATAAATCCGCTTCGCGCTTTTGCACGCAAGAAGACGTTAGTGACGTCGCACTATCCAATCTTAAGAACCATTGATGTTTGGCGCAGAATGAAGCTTCGGAATCAATTGAATTGCATGACGCACCTCCAATCCTGGGGCAACAAACGTATCTTGTCGCCATATCGTGATACTCGTAAAGCAAAAGTTTATACAGGTTATTATATTTCTTGACATCAGCTTTCCCGCTACGTGTACTCCGCGCTCTGTGTTCATCCTTATTGGCGTACTCATTTATCACCAGTGAACAGCTTGGCTTCTTTTACGATATCAGCGGTACAATTTAAGTGACTTAAACGTCTTGCGATTCAATGAAAAAATCTTCGTGATACCAGCATTACATAGCGAAACTTTCTGCTGGAGGCAATGACATGGAGTTTACAACTTTTGGAATTAATCTGGTCGCTCCATCTAAAAGTGAATAATGTTCTTGTCGCAAATTGTAAAAGAGAGCGTTCACAGCCATGTACGAAGGGCGCGTAACAAGATACTCATAGTTTTGCCAAAGTTCGATTTTACATTTTATAATTATTTTAATATTACAGAAGTGTTAAGTACTATAGTAGCCCCGTCTCTTTACGGTGCTATTTTCGAGAGTACTAAGACGTGTAAATTGAGGGTGTGTCTAGGGGAACTCTCGGTACTTTTATATGAGAAGGAGGAGCGGACGGTGTGCCAAAAAGATGCAGTCGGTCCGCTAGGGTACGGGCAGCAGCACATGGAGGAAGAGGAACCGCGACATGCAAGTATTCTCCCTAATCAAATCTCTGAGCACCGCTGGCGAGATATCCCGCGAAACGCCAAGCTCACTGAGGCCGAAACGCTCACGTTTTTTAGCGAGTTCAAGCGCGCCGGAGAGCTCACCGACGAAGACGTCATCGAGCGCTGCATCTTCCTTGTGCGGCATGCGCCTCCCAGTAGCTATCTGAGCTTGAAGATCAAAGGCAAATTCGTTCAACTCATCAAGCGCCTCGAGAAGGTATTGGATTGTTACTTGCTGCCATCTGTAAAACCTCGGTCTTTGATGTTCTCAAACCTTATCTGTAGGTCGACGCACGAGAGCACTGCCTCAGTCGTGATGACTGTCTTCAACCGAGTGGCGTTGTCTGGAAGACGGGCGAAGAGATCGAGGCCGCTGGGCGAGACTGTTTCCCCGAAGACGTGATGATCTGCACCATTGACAAGGATCTGTTCAAGTTATGGCCATTGCTGTCGTTCATGCAGGGCATTGGTACGCTCCATCAAGTCGACGGTCGCGCTATCGACCTTGGGCGAAAGATCATGCATTTGCTTGACGAGCTGGGCAAGAAGTATCCGGCGCTCGCGAAGCTGCTCGATCCACCGACAGTTATCTTCAACCTACAGGCAATGAACATCAACCCGGCTGCAGTCGTCATTCCCGCTGGACTCGCATCTGGAAATGTGCCCGCATTCCCTGGCGCTATCGGCATCTGGACTTGTCCATCAGAGTCATGCGCTGGCGAACTCATCGGCCATCTGCGTGCTACGCTCGCTCCTATCCTGCTGCCCGGCGGTGTCGCACAGTTTCATTATTTTAATGCACCCATGCAAAACTTATGAAATGACAATCTTCGCACTCAGGCCAGATATCAGAAAAGATGGCCACCTCTATTCTAGTTTTCAGAAGCAACAATATCAGTTATTAAATACTTCTGTTATGAATTCAGATGAATGCGTACAATGTTTCGTTGAACCTGAATAAGACTTTAGGATTTATTCTTTTTATATTTTGGCAACTTTCATTACTTGATTACCTATCGCTTAATAATTCTTTTTTCATTAATAGTGCTTTATTTTTTCGGCGATTATAACATAATATGAACTATGTCTTCAGCTTCGGATATTTCAGCTTTCGAGCATTCCGTCGGACCAGCTCCAGCTGAGACGCTTTTCCGTGGAAAGAAATAGACGTATATTCAGGACTGAACGTCTAACACCAGTCAATATGCCAGTCAACCTCAATCTCGCTTTCGTAAACTGGGAAGAAGCTTCTAGTAAAGCTTTAAATTCTTAAAGGTGGTGCCGGTTCGATTACTTCGACTACTGCATGTACTGCGGTTCAATTGGTACCTAAGGCTGGCGCGTGGGAATTCATTGGCAGTATTCTAGTTGTTATTGGTGACGCCACTGTTCAATCGAATCAAGTTCATGAGAATGTGAATACAACGTTCAAGGCGATCACTAAAACGGATTGTAATACTTATGTCAATCATGGTACAACTAGCAACTTTGTATTGAATGAATATGCCATTCCAACGAGTCAATGAAGCACTGGAGCAGCTCAATTATTGAAAACTTGGCCACTTCGTCGTTGGGTAAGTTTGGTTTTGCTAGCACAGACTCGAACGGAGGTGCTGCACAGTGATCATTATTTACGCTCTTGATTAACAAAAGTGGGAAATCGGCGTTTGATGTAGTGGGAGATAGTGCAAATCTTCAAGCCGTATCGAAACTCCAAGTCTATGTGGCTTCTGCTGGCGCCATTGTTGCTGGCTCGCCATTTTACGTCGCGCATTACTTGGCTTGCATGAAGTTGCGCGATATGTGCGACTATTTCAAGAAATGCCCAGTGCAGAAACATACGCGCAGCTTCATTTAACAATTACAACAATTCATCTACTACCATGGTTACAACTGGCACTGCTGGTGTTGTTGCGCCTGTTGTTATTGCTAGTTTGAGTTATAACGATTTATGGCATCACCTGCTGGAATATAAGTATTGATGCAACGATAACTACTTTTTAGCGGGTGGCCTTGCTTCCTGCATCTGCGACCACGCTTACTATTACTGCCGACGTCAATGGAACTTCAACTCTTTATTACCACGTACTGCGTGAAGTTGTTGCAACAGTCGATACGGCTATGGGCACGGTATCGCAAGGACCGGTTTAAGGCTGACTTCGACAACTTCGTAATGTAATTCTATTTAATAGCATTTTTTATCATTTAATTAATATACTTGGCCTGATCAAATTTCAATCATGAGTGCGAAGATGAAATCAAAGAAAAACTACTTGAAGGTCTTAAAGGGCCTCCAAAAATTATCAAAGGTGAAGCACATGAAATTCCTAAAGAAAGTAAAAAGAAGCATACGTACGTCCCGCAACCAACAGACGCAGACTTCAATAAGGAAGAACCCACTGCACCTGGAAATTCACCCGATGATTTCTATTGCAGCAAATATGAAGTTGCCCAAAAGGCCATCAATACTCGAGCATATATATAGGGAACTGGTGGTGGATGACCACGTTCGAAATTATCATAACAAACGAAGAGAGTTTAGACGAGAGGATTAAAATCAAAAATAGCAGCAAAGTTTGCAGATGAAATCATGAAAGAATCAGTAAAACTATTGAAACGGAAATGAACCACAACTCTCCCAAAAAAATTCCCACGGGCAAACGAGCAGCAAATAAATCTGCTAAACAAGCTGAGGACGAACCTTCGATTAATCGACAACTTGGATGCTGAAAGCAGTGATGACGAAGTAATAAAGGAAGAAAATAGATGATGCTGGGATAAAGGAGTATATATTGGCGATATCAACAGCTACAAAAGCTCATTTGCAAATAACTTGTACGAAAGTATTCAACACAGATTTGTCCAAGCTGTCGAGCAGCGCAAAGGCAAAGAATATTTTGAAGACAATACTTTTAAACCGACAAGATAGCATAAAATGAAACGAGATGCTATGAATTAGTATAGGCTGAATCAAAAGGCTGGCGCGATGAAATCTATTTAATTGAATGCACTATTTTTTATAGTCGATTCCTGTTTCTCGATACGATTAATTAGCTTCTTAATGATTAAACATTTAATATCGTTATAGCATTGTAATCTAAGTCCTTCCGTTAGTTTTCACCTTCATCTTTTATATTTTAATTTTCGATCTTTGTTGTTGCTTCTTAACAAACACGCATAACATCTTGAGCTATCACACCAACTCCTTTCTTAGCTTCATCCTTATAGCTATAAATAATCGGTTTAAGATCCTTATCACGTAAATCGATGTCTTTACCACAATTTGCCTACGCGTTAGACGCTCCATCATAACTATACAAGATAGAGCTAACTTGTATTATTGTTATTGTTGTGTTGGATCCAGCTACTTGCAAAGGGACGTTTGGTGATCCAGTTTCGATATTCACTCTAACAGTCGAAGTTATTGTAAGTCTTCATGTGTTTACAGCCAATATAACCAAATCGTTGAGATTCGTTATTCCGAAGTATGTCGAGGTTGCATTTGTTGCGTTGCTCATTTGCAATCCAAAACCTATGGGCGTTGCATTTGATGATTCCATGAAAATCGGTATATCGTTGTTAGCAGTTCCATCATTGAGTGCATCAGATGCTTCAAAATAAACATTACCAGATTTTAGTGTGAGAGGAGCAGTGTTGAATTTTTCATTTTATTAACGGTAAGTTACTTGTTGGTGTAGGCTACGATCCGGAAAGATTCATACAAAAATCATTCGCTGAGGTAGCCAGGGTGTATGTATGAGGAAAACCACCCTTGTATGGCTGTGAATTTCCAACGTTGAATCTATGCGTTTGAGACGTAAACCCACGGATAGCTTGTCATTCCAATTAATATTGAATAAATCCGCAGTTGTAGCTGAAACACCGCTTACAAATAGCCCAGATTAACGTCTGATATTAAATTCAACACCGAATACGTTTTGTTATTTGCCATGACCAATTTTTTTGTATCGGATACTCGATAAATTACATTGTTTTAAGATCAGGTGCTCGACGTGCTCAAAGGCATCAAACCTACACCAGAACTATCCAATGTCATTGTTTCTGATGCCTGAAACGCCCCGAACGTTATAATATCACCGTAATAGAATATAGCAGAGTAGGTGTGTTTGCCGATCCGTTGAGATCTAGATTCGTGTAAATAATACTAAGACTAGCTGAGGTATTGATCGTATCATTCGTGATAGCAGGTGAAGCCATACTCGTTGAAGCAGTTAGGATGGAACGTTCTAAATGATTGATTTCACTATAATCAAGAGCTGAATTTAGCACCACAGCCTTCGAAGCAGCAGCACCACTTTGAGTAATCGACAAGTGTAATGATTGATCAAAAGTAGTTCCATTGGATTTTAGCGATCCTGTGTTCCAGATCCGCCTAATCCGATTGATGGCAGAGTTTCTGTAACAGGGTTTTTCACGTCCCTTGTATGAAGGGTGTGGGTCACACAAGATGGGGTAGTCACACAATGATGTGGGTTGCACAAGCACACAATGGTGTGGCTACACATGAACAAGAAGTCAGTTCGTGGCATCTAATTAGAATTTTCTATATAGATAGGAAAACCAACCAAGCTTCCTTTGAACAAAAGAGCTACGGTAGCCAACGCCGACGTTTCCAGAAAATTCGAAAAGCTCCGTTATGGTGGAATTGCATAGTATTTGGATTGCTTGCTGAAATACCTCGAACTCCAACTTCCCCAGCATAAAGATTGCTTGTGAATTTATATTGGCTTGCGCAGCAGCAGAACTATTTGAAATTGATACTAGTTATAGACTCAAGCGATGTGATAGCTGATTGAGTGTTCCAGTAATACTTGTCGATGAAATAGATGTGGTACCCTTGATAGCCTTACCAGGATTTAATACTAGAGCCTCCGAGCGGTTCCAGCAATTATACCTGAAACATATGAAAATCCACTCAATTCAAGCGCAGAACCACCAAGCGTTAGAGCATCGCAATCAAGGTTGCCGATCACGCTAAATGTAGACAAAGTTCTATCACCACCAAGCCGCAAGCATCTATAATCTCCTGTAGTAAAAGTAAGATATCCAATAGATGCAGTAACGCAAGGTCTGTTAAAAAAAGAGAATTGGGAATTGGGAATTCTATCACTATACTATAAAATGCAAAACTTCTACAAATCAATATCGAAGTCTAAACTATGAAGTTACCATAGAGTCCACACTCCGAGCTGCCATTTAGAATGTGCGTGCAAGTCCTAGTGGATGGGGAAAAGATGTTTATAAAATGGAAACCTGCAAATGGATGTAGAAAAGATGTTTTTAGAATGGAAACCTGCAAATGAAGTGTCTGATGTCAATACGACTATCGCATTACATCAAATTTTACACAAAAATGAAGAAAAAAAACAATATAGATTCACTCTGAGCGTTCATGTGAGAATACGAACAGGAAGTCGACTACGAGCCAGGTACTCCTTTCCCAGCATGAGAAGACGAGGAGGGTGAGGTGCGCCAACTGCGTGACGTGAGCCCAGCTCAAACCTTGCCGACACCGTGTCCATTCTCCGACCTGTCGATTTCCAGGGGAAGTGGTATTGTTACCAATCGCCTCAACCAGACACAGAAGCAGCAGCTGGAGGCTACCCAAAGGGCGGCTCGTATGCGCTCGTATCCACGTTCGGTCTTATACCCTCGTGTGGATTACGGCTTCCGCTCGGCGGATCCTGCTACTGAAGCGAACGACAAGATCACTCGATTGATAGGCGTCTAAGTAGTCGGGCCTCCGGCCACTACACAAGCTGAGTTTGACCAGCGGAGAGCTCTCCGAGCTTACTTCT